GGAGGAGGAGGAGGAGGATGAAGACGAAGACGAAAACAACATCGACACGAAAGCGGGCGCCGATGACCCACCCCCGAAGCGGACGAAAGTTCAGCAGCCCTGATGATGGCGTTAGAGACCGAGCTTAGGCCTAGAAAGGGACAGTCCGGCTTGTAAGGGCCCCCGGGCGCGGTGCCCCGGGCGGGGGTAGGCCACTCGGGCCCGGCGGGCGCCTGCGTCTCTTCTATTCGTGTTTTTACAAGTGAAATGACGATCCCGACGCTATTTTAATACGGAGCCTTAACGAAAGGATGCGCCTTGGTGTTATCAGCCTATCGCTTACAGGGTACCAATGGTAACACTGAGAAGAATTTTTAGTTAGCTAGTTGACAAATATAAAGCAGTGCTCACAAGTCAATAAAGTAATAAAATGTGGAAAGAGTTATTTTGGCTGATATGATCTTAAAAGGGTACAAGACAACTTTATTTGTATGGAAAGATACCAATATAAGACCACTATAGTATTCAAAATTTAAAAACATCTGTAGAACTGTGTCTACTGCTGAACAGTCCTCAGAGTCATATACAGTCCTGCAACGGAAGATTATTTTTGCCTATCATCTATAAGGTTTATTTTAGTCACTCATCAATTATTTTCCTGGAAAAGGAAATTATTTTCATAGACAAAGTAGATTGAAAGAGTTGGGAATCTTGGTTTCAAAAAGTCCTGGTTTTGTGGCAGCCAGGAAAGTTACAAATCAGTGTGACTTTGATAATTATCTTCAATATTCCACAATTTATAAAACTTGTCTGTCCTAAGCCTGTTTTCTCCAAATGGGGGAGGAGGTTCCCTTTTTTAGTTTCATGCAGCAATCTTCCATCACTGAGTTTTATCCAGGTTGATTTTTAGGCTCATTTGGTAGCTAAGTCTAATAAAGTGAACATCACTGCTTAATATTCTGCCTATGCAGAACTCTCAACATTACCTAAAAATAAGAAAAAAGAAGAGCAGAGTGATTTTTTGAGATGCTTTCTATAAACAAAAGTTTGTGCAGAAACTAGGGGAAATGTAGTAAGGTTCTACACTGGTGTTGCAGAGGCTCTACAGGATAAATACTTAAAATTTTAGTACAATCGATTGGGACTTCAGCAGTCATTAGTAAATAACAGATTCAGATGTCTGTGAAAGGAAAACTATTACTGCACAGTCAATTCAAAGAATTCCTAGGATTTAATGACAATCCAAAATGCACGATCACTCACCTAAAAGTGAGGGCTGTCAGCCTCGAGTTTTCTTGGGCAGTGCCCTGACCCAAAGGCAGAGTCCTTGACTGTGCCGCCCCAAAGAGGACTGGCTCAAAATGGCTCCCCCAGGGGACTCCATTTATACCCCAGCCGAATGATCTGTGGTCAGTCTCCTCTTACAGGCTGAGGACTCCAGTTACCATAAAGTCCTGAGAACAAAGGCGTGAAGACGGAATCAGCAGCCACTGTATCTCAACAGCCCGGAAGCCCCTGCATCAGGGTGGGTGCACCTGCCACAGCTGGCTGCTGTAGTGTATTTTAGAGGGGGAGAAAAATATAAATATTAACACCTATGAGTACATTATATATAACAGTTCCTGGCTGTAAATCTGCATAACCCAATCTCTGCTAAGGTAGCTTGTTCTTTCTTTTGATGATAATGCAACATGTGGAATGGCATTAAGTAACAGATGCTTCCCATATGTTGCTTGAATTCCCAGTTTTTTGGTGCCTGCTTCTGTTAACAGGCATAAAACATTCCTGACAGCCAGTCCATAGAGCTTACTGTACAGCCTGAGTCTTCTCTGGCAGAAATTGACTGATTTAATAGTGCGAGAAGCTTTTTTCTTTTTTTTTTTGTGTGTTCTGCTGTCATAGTTTATGTATTATGGAAACTGAACAAATCTTGAGACTTGTGTATGAAGGACAAAGTATTTGAATAAATTACGAACTTTTATGACCACAAAATTATCTGCGTTTGTTTGAAATGAGGGGGGGGAGTTGGAAAAGACATCCATCAAACATTGTTTTTACATCTTTATCTACTCTTATTCTAAGAAATTCACACTCATCATTCTGTTAGCAGATATTACAGAGGCATAACTGAGGAGAAAAGACCAACTCTGAACACTAGGGAGCTTTAGTTGCTGAGGCCCTAGGGTAGAGAAAATTACACAAATTAATTCTGATCTCTTGTCAGCCTGCAAAATCTTAAAGTGATAAAATGGTTAGTGTTTTAGGGTAGATAATTTATTGAAGAAAGTGGCATTGAAGGAAGTGGCTTATCAAAATGGCAAAGGCAAGACTTGATACAAAAAAATGACCCTGATAAATGTATCAGAAGGGCTCCTTCATATGACCCGTGCTGAAGTGATGATATCTTTTATGAGCTCTGTTCTGCAGCTGTGAAAGATTGCTGTAGAGCTACATCTGAGGAGCACCATTTTTTTTTTTTCTTTGCTCCACCCTCTCCTCCAGACTACAGTCCTCTAACACTCCACAATGGTATGAACTGTGGAATGGCTAAAAAGCAACATTTAACATTAGTCATGGCTTTGTGGCCTTTGTATACAAATTTCATGTAAACAGTCCACTGGCACATCATGGACTGTAAACCCCTGGTCTAAAGCAACAAACCCTAACTTTATTAGTGTGGGAGTAAATGCAGGTAATACTCCTATAATGGGATACTTTAGTCAACCTGGACAAAGTAACCACTGCACCTGAGCTCCAGAAGGTATCAATGAGCACTGGGTCAAGAACCACCACTCACACTTTTGCCTTTAAATAATTATTTCCAGTCCTTATTGTGTCCACAAAAGCTTTTGAACAACAAAAAGGGTACGGGAGTTTCACAGGGCCTTAATTCTAAAACAGTTTGCTTGTGACAGAAGTGCCCTAACTCAATAGAGAACTTTATTTTTCTGAGAATTGCTACAAGGTAACTAGGCACAGAAAACTCCCCCCCTCCCCCCCCCCCGGCCATCTGTTTTAGGACCTACCCTACAGCTGTGTTCTGGACTCCTGGGGACCCCCTTTCTCCCCCAGGACTGCAGTCACATTTCCTGTACTGTCCTCCTGGCCAAACAACCAGGAAAAGGTACAGGGGGCAACAGAGAGAACCAGCTGGTGTTGCTCACTGGTCATGGCACTCTCTTCCAAGCAACCAAGTCAGAAAAGCATAAAAGTTCTTCCATGGCTTAGAGAACCTCCAAAATTTTCTGAAGACAGAAAAACTTAAGGTTTATGTGTGTGGAGAATATAGCAAAAAATCTGCAATGACTTTTACAAAGCTGTCGTAAGGGACGAAGCTTCATACATGCCATAAATCAGCTGTGGCCCCTGCATTTGAGATAGAATAGGTAAGTCTTGACAGAAGATGGCATACTCTTCACCTTGGGGATTTGCTAGTGCTTTTGTACCTTAACTAGACTTCAGCCTGGCAAAGAACAAGCCCATTTCACCACATCTGCACTGTTTAGCATAGTTTTTCTTACTAATAGAACTTAGCTTTAGTAGCCAGAGGGGGCTAGATGGATTTCCTTACTAATCAAGGGGCAAGAATGTTTGTATGTTTCTACTGAATTAAGAGAGCTGAAGTGATACTAAATTATGTTCTTGGTAGTATTTAGATGAGAACCAACTAGTTTTACTAGTTGCAAAACAGAACAGCAAAAATGTCAAAGCAAGGCTCCTTCACATAGACTGAGATTATATGACATATTCTATTGTTACTGCTTTAAAATAATGATTTTGCTGGTTCAGACAACTTTGAGGCTAAAGTCACAAAGGAATTTAACAGGTTGCAGTGCTCTGTGTTTTTAAAAAAAGGTTTAAAATCACAAGTATGATATTAAGCACTTAGATGGTTCTGTGAGGGAAAGGGGACAATCCCATTATGCCTGATAATCATGGCATTGCCTAAAAGTGCAAGACCTTTCCTAGCTCCTAGGAGAGAGAGACATTTTCATTAAAAGGGTTTGAATGTGATTCACCAATTGCAGCCTCTGTGTAATTCCTACTCATTCTATCTTAAAAGTTAATTTATAAACAAGGTACTACACATACCAGATTCTCTCTAAAATACACAGTAATTTGGCAGTTAGGACATAATAACGTATCACGGGGCTTAATACATGGTAACAAGGTTAACACTCAGCAGTGTATAACTGCCAAGCAGTGGGTTTGGGCACATACATTAGCCAAAATTTAGTGGTCTACTCATGGGCTTTGAGGACTGAGAGTTGAGCAGAAGTACCTTGTTGTGGCTGCAGCATGTTCTTTCTTACCAGAAGAAACCTGTACCATAGGGCTAGCTTTAAGGAGAGCTAAGATCAATCAGTTCTTACAAATTAACTACCTGATAAAGTTATTAAACTGCTTTCATGCATTAGGTCATACATAGTAAAGAAGGCCTCATCCAAGACTGGCACACAAAAAGCAGCATTTTTTAGAAACTAATAGAATTATAAACTAGAGAGCAACCTTTTAAGACAATAGACCAGGCAAAACAAAATAGGGGGATTTAATAGATCCTGCATAAACTGGAAAGTTTTGTTCCAAGGATAAGTCAATCCTCATGTTTTTAATTAAAAAAGAAATCAAGCTTGCAGTTCTACTTCATTGCTGGAAGAAACATGCATCAGAAGGAACACATTTTATTGCACCTTACTTCTGTCCAAATTCGAAGGGCTGCAGCCTGAAGTTATGCTCTTCATTGGATCTGCTCTCCCACAGGAGGAAATGGAGAACAGGCTCAGCAACACTTAAAAAAATGTGACAGACATTTTCCTAAAACAGGAAGGGACTGTCAGGTGAAGGTCAAGCTGCTAATGAAACTAACACTCAAACTGCCCAAGAGTGATGCTCAAGCAGCCTGACAAAGCTTTATGTTGTGACACAAACACAACAAAAAGAAATCCAGGGTAGGTGACAGAGACATGAATATAATCAACTTCATGTTAATAACTACTCTCTCTCTTGGCAGAAAATTAAAGCTCTGAATGATTGTTAAGCTGGCAGAGGTTAGCAACCTTCCAAGGACTTCATTACTGCCTCTATTAATTATAGCTTCTGCTTTAGGAAGCTCTTCAAGATCAGGTCTGAGCTAACTCATTTTAAGTTAAAAGAGCATGAGTAGAAGCAGCTTTCCCACACCCTGAAGTGGAACTTGTAGCAATTCATCTTTTCTTTCCACTCAGTGAAAAGAACTAAACAGATCTGTATGAGCAAGTTCTAATATAAGCGAGTCTCACATCACTTATCAGTGCCCTTTCTGTAGAAACTGATTTGGGCTATTATCTGTCATTTACTATCAAGAACTAATTGAGAAGTACCATAGTCTTTAAAGAGGTTGTAAAACTTCTTTAAGCTTGATTATCCCAAAAGCTTACAGATGATGTCAGTTTGTGTTACAGTTATCTTCTGTGACTGAGAACTAATTAGCCCTGACACGATCTCCAGGGAAATCAAGCTTAAAGTTATTTCACTACTGCTTTTAAAAGAAGACTACAGTGAAAAACAATGTAATCAATTTTTATAGTCTTTCCTTTACTTACTCTGTAGGTAAGACTTCAACTGTTGATGTTACAGTGGTGTCAAAAATACTGGAAGCACCAGTGGAGCTAACTTTCCTCTTCTCCTACTCCTGTTGTTCAGTATTCCTATGTGCTACGTTAGTAGTTTATATTAATTCTCTCCATTGCCGCTTTCCACCTCAAGTGCAAATCCTTACAGAAATAGCATTTGCTTGAATTAGATTCTGTGTCTTTCAGTAGTTAGTTGTAAAGCTCACACTTGTCAACAGCTTTAATCCAAGAACAAGCTTCTGAGGGAAAAGTCTACAAACACAAACCTCCATTCTCTAAGTCACCACTGTGCCCAGCACATGCTCCACATCCAGACAGCTTGGCTCATCACATCAGGCATGCTGATGAATTTGCTAATGGCCACATGCTTGCACGATAGAAACTTAGGCAGTTCTCCCTATAATTTTCTATTTTTGATGCTTCCTCTTATGTTGTTCTTTAAATAACTCCATCTAGACACAACATAACTACTAATTTTAAAAAGTAAATTATCAAGTTAACAACATAGTCCAGCCAGAGGTATCTCCCTCTTACACGAAGGTAGAGAAATGACAAAGGGATTAAGTTTCATCCATCCAGCCCCAAAACTTCAGACTACAGACATGTAATTAGGACACATATCATAAAAGGACAACAAAAAAGATCAACCAAACATACACACTGAAGGAAGAACAGGATAGTGAACAAGAGCAGCTGACTGCTAGGACTGCTACCTAGCAACAAACATATGCAAAAAAAAAAAAAAAGGCATTGATATGCATCTGCATTAACAGACTTCTGTTTACAAACATTGAAAAGTTTTTATTTTATAGATAAATAGGATGGTGATTTTTAAAGTTAGGAAACAACACAACTTAAAAGCTCTGACTCCCCAAGATACTACAACTCAAGAGTTTATACTTTTATTCCTACTCCAGCATACTAAGATGGCAGCTCCCTCCTTTTCATATTGCACTTAGAACTTAAAACTTTCTCGTAAAGGCTACATTGTTTCCAGGTCCTAGCACCAATGCTGGCATCTGAAACCAGTGTCTCAAAACATCTCCAAATGCAAACAGAAAGTTTAAGGTGTTGTAACTGCCATGCTTAAACACAGCAACACTGAAAATAGTGTTCTCTTTCTAAAGCAAGAAAAAGCTGATATTCTCCAGGATTCCCTTAAAGTAGTCAGAAATGGATTAACATTTGTTATGATTAGGTACTGACAATCACATACAATTGAAACTATCATCGAGGAGTTTAGTTCATAATTGTTTTGGGCCTACTGATCATCGTGGCTGGCTCAAAAATTTAGTTATTCTAAAAAGAAATTAAAAAAGACATGAAGAAAGAACAGGTTCAATATTATTCAAAACACACAATCCAGTAGTCAGAATTAAATGCTATGCCAAAATAGAGGTTGAAACTATGGTAAGAAATCTCAGTGGAATTTCAGTATGACTGAAGAAATTTGCATTCATTGCAAAAATAAAAAGGTATCTTCTAATTTCTGGAAGAAACGGTTATCTGTCTTACAACTTGTCTGTAGCATCCCCTCAGCCTAATACCAGTTAACTTTGCCAAATTCAAAGTTTACCTAATAACATTGGTGCTTCCAGAACATGGTTTTGCATCATGTTCAGAGTGAAGTTAGAACGGTAGTAAATTCCAATCACTTGTAATTTTATCAAAGGACATTTCTACAGATAGGAGAAGGGAACGCAAATAAAGTTTTGTGCAGACTACAATGACAGCATAAGCTGCTTTCAACATCGTAGGAAAAGAGTTTAAAGCACAACTTCCAGGCCCATGCCACTCATCACTACATGGTACTTCTGTGGTCAATGAAAAACAGTATGCTACCACAGGAAAAAAAAAAAAGTACCTTTGCTCTGTTAAAAGTGTGCACAAACTTTATTCTTTGCTTCCTATATTTATATCTAAATTTATTTTTAAAAAAACTTTGTTAGAAACAAACACTGATATAGATACTACTTAAAAAAAAGAAAAAGCAAAGAATTGTATTAAGTGCAGCTTTTATAGTCATGTTCTGATTTTTCTTCCTTTTACATTTACCACAAAAGTAGTACCTTTTCATTGATTTTTACTTCAAGGGAAAACATAGGAAATCACTTTTTTGCACAGAGGAGTAAAGTCATGGACCAGAAACTTATTTTCCCACAGGACGTTTCAGATGGAGTGTTGCAATTTTGCATCATTAAGGCAAAATGAGGAATACTTCCATCAAGTGTCACATAGGGCTCTCCCACTCTGGCCATTCTGATAGACCCATATTTAAAAACCTTTGTAGTTACTTTTTTTTTTTTTTTAATAGAAAACAGTCACTCTCTTCATTGCTTAACAGTTTGAAAGAAAAGGCTCTTTCCAGCCTTCACTCAGAACTTCAGTCTTGTGATTAGATCAGGCATATGCAATTGCTTCAAAACAGCTACAGAAACTAGAAATTGAGCTAAGTGTCAATCAGTTGTAATCTACTGATCTGATTAGAGGCCTTCACAAATGTTTGATGACGATTGCAAATAACAGCCAAGCAGATAGGAATGATGCAATACCCAACAGTTTTGGGGTCAGCTCTTGTACAGGAATAGAGGAACAAGAACATCTGTAAATATGGTATTAAAAATATTATAGTCCACAGCCAAAAAGGCAAGGATAGCAGTCGTACTTTTAAGGAGTGCATCCATGTGGTTCCTTCCTGTGGTTCCTTGGGGTGTTGCTGAATGTGCTCCAGTGCTAGTTTGTTGTAAGTCTCATTGATTTCAAAGACGTAATAAAAAGCTGCAGCACTTGCTAACAAGTACAACCCCACACCAATCCATCCCATCCTCTGGCGGAAGTTCATCATTCTCCATGCTCTGCACCTGTAACAAAAGCAACAATCACCTTCAGTACAGCTTGGAGAAAGTGGGGTCACAGATGAATCTTGGTTTTCCTAAGTTAACTTTTTATAATTTGTCATTACACATTAGTAAAAGCAGCACACACAGCCATTTCTGAAGACCTGAGTTCTCTCTACATCAGAGAAAATCATACTACTATGCCAGCAACAGGCCAGTGTAATGGCTCTGGCTAGTTTAGGGTCTCCTAGCTATCAAAGTTATACCAGGCTAAAGTGAAGTACTGAGTGAATAAAACAGAAGTCATGAATTGGGTAACTTACTCCATCTGCCATCAGTGCCTCTAGCCATAGGGTGGAGATAAGACTTTCTGTAAATACAGAAAGTTTGTAAAGTTCTCCGATGTCTGCAAGACAAACACGCTGCTAGCCAGCCAGTAACAGGAGCATCACTGCTTGTTTGCAGTGTAGCAACATCCAGTTTTATTAAGCTACAGATGAGTGCCCATCTATGAACCATATAAAAGGATGTTTTCAATTTGAACATGAGAAGACACATACTAATGGCATGTATTTGTACCCATTTGCACAAATGAAGATACTATAAGTGTATTACTTGCACCTAAGAGAGTATTTCTGCTCTACCTCTGTGAACAGTTGCAGTGTGCCTTCTGGAGGAAAGTAATTGAACAGCTGTACTAGTAACTGACTCTGTGCAGAACAAACCAGACACCAGTCAAGTGGCATTTTCAGGAGCAGCACAAATTACTGAAGCACCACAGACACTACTGGGCTTGCCTTTAGCTGCTTTAAGATCTCTGGCTGACTGTATGAGCCTAGGTGACTTGAAACATTCTACAAACCAGTCACAAATCCTCTAGCTGAAGTACCTCCACTCAAACCAAGAAGTCATCACCACCTTCCCTGAAAAGAGCCCTTGTGCAGGGCTGGGAGAATCACTGCTTCACTGCAGCTGGTTAGAGTTCTCCCAACAAATATGCTTCTTCAGACTGCTGGGGCTTTACATTTCCTATCTTTTTTTAAGTGGAGTGAAATCAATTTATACAATACTGTTTTAAGAAAATACATCAGGCTTTAAAAATACTAGGCAGAAATGCTTATTTAAGGATGATATCTGCATACAGAAGAACAATTATTAATGGAAGTATGAGAGACTTTACCATAATGATAAAAAAAAAATAAAATCATTATACCTTTCTAAATGCCCCTTCCTAAAGCCAGACTAATTTGTCTGGTAAGCAATCTTAAAAGACTTCCTGGTTTTCCACAGCTGAAGGACATCCTCAATCCTGACCTGACAGAATCTGATCAGGGTAGTCCTGATGTTCTTCTGGCCCTCACACAACTGCATTTATGGTAACTAAGAGTCAAACACATAGTGACAAGTAAATACCCAAGTGCCCCTACTTATGTCTGTGACAGCAATTTGTTGTTTACCTTATTCTTCTACATAACTTAACGGTATGTTTCCCTTTAATACACCAAGTTAATACTTGTAGAAGGGCAACTGAAAAATGTAAGAAGTTGTTAGTCTACTGGATAAAAACTTAAGTTCCAGAGTTCAAGTTTACCCAATAGTGAAGTCACTGCCCGTTTTTTTCCAGTAGTTAGGCATTTTAGAGATGGCTAACACGAGAAAAATCAATCTTCAGAAGTCAAGCACATATTGAAAGCGCAAACATTATTAAAATTGCAGAAGATATAAAAAAGTAAACATTAGCTGGTTTTAATCCTGCCCTTGTTAGGCAACAGTAGCCAGAAGAGAAGCCTTAGTTCTGGGTTACACCGAAAGAGGCAGAAATAACGCTTAGAGTTTTCTCATTGTTATTTTCCGTTTCGAGACACTATTTTTACTTGCAGTTTTCGGAGATAGCCGCGATGGTTATCACAGTCGCCCACCCCCATTCCGCGGGTGTTTCGAGGCTCTCCTCCCGCAACAGGCCGCGCAAACCGGCCGCTGGAAACGCCTGCAGCGCTCAGACCCCCGCTCCAGGCGAGAAGCGCTCCGCCGCCACAGCTCCTTCACCGACACCGGCAGCTCCTTACCTTCGTCCAGCGGAGAAGGAGGGAGCGGGAGGGCGGCGGCAGGCGGCCCGCTCCCCTCAGC